TATGGCTGTACCAACATAACAGCCATATGGTACATAAGTGTTCTATTACTTAAGGAGTAGTTAACAAACAACAAAATCCGGATAGATAGCTATTCAAATTGAGTCTGAAGATAGTTATTTAGTCGTGTGCTACAAAAAATACGATGATTAGCTTTGATACTTCATTAAATTAAGAAGTTTTATTATTGGAAATTATCAAAAAAAAAAAAAAAAAGTCGAGGTTAACTTTTTATTACTTATTATATACATTTTTTTCTTTTTTCAATGCCTTTTTAGAGAAGTCTAAAGAAATGTATGAAATTTATAATGTTCTAGTAGTCACAATAGCTATAGCATGGACCCTATTCTTGTCGGTATTAAGAATAAATAAGTTCTTTAACATCAGATAATGTGACAAGCAGTTTTATTGACAAACGTTTGATGTTTAACTAAAATAGAATATTCAGATACGAATTATAAAATCTCTCTCTTACCAATAGATTTTATTTAATAAATATACAAGTTTCAAGTTTAATAAAACCAAACCATAAAAACTGGTAAATGAATTGTTAATTTTTAAGGCATTTGAATGAAACATAAATGTTTTTGAAATATCGAATCCAAACTGTTTCAAATTTTACGAATATGAAATTTTTACATGCCACATGCATTTTATTTAAATAAATTTTTTCCAATTTTTCCCTTTGGTCCTTGTTAGGCGAACCACATTTCAGAGTGCATTTATTTATGGCATCCAAGCTCCGTTTTATTTGATCCTTGATTGCGTAGCCAGTTTGTACATTCATGTACACATATTTATGTTCTGTTCATATATCCAAATAGCAAAAAGCTCTTTGCTGGGATTAAATATGTAAATTTACTTGAAAAGACAAATTTTCTAAAATAAAATTTCGAAAAATTTATTTAAACCAAAGCAAAACTGCTATCAAAATAAATTAAGTAATTTACAAAGATATGAACTTTAATTAAGTTGCATTTAAGCAGAAAGTAAATTTATAAAATATTTTCTGAGATTTCAGTAAAAAGTATAATAAAGAGGTTTATATATTAAAAGAACATATTTTAGAATTTATGAAAGTTAATATGGAAAATATAATTTAGCCAGATGTGGTATATTAATTTATGTGAAGACTTATTTTGTTCACTATAAGTCCATAAAAAAATTTTTGTATAATGGATCTAAGTGGGCGCTTCATTTAAAGATATAATATATAAAAAATATATTATATATAAAATTATAAAAATAAAAATATATAATTTATTGTGGGTATACTCGTTCTCTCCAATAGCTTAGAACTATTTTCTTTGCTAAGGAATATATGTTAGTATTATGAACAAAGTAATAAACTGCAATATATAAATAACTAATTCATTATTTGAGCCAGTGCACTTGAGCACTTCTACTCTTTCTTAACTCGAGGTATTTTTAAAACCCCTCTTTACGCCTTGACGGGATTATTGTTTATCACTTCATCAGACTAAGTAATAATTGACCTCAGATCTGCATACCTCCCCGAGAAGCCTGTAACCATTCTGAGATTTGATAACGCGGTGTTGTTTTTCACTTCATCAGACTAAGCAATAATTGACCTCAGATCTGCATACCTCCTCGAGAAGCCTGTAACCATTCTGATATTTGATAATGCGATGTTAGTAAGTCATCAGTTTTCGCAAATAATTTCAGGGCTCTATCCTTTATGTATTTTTTGATGGGATTAAACTTGAGGTCCCTGAGGATGTGATTCGTCCTAAAGTACCACGGTACTTTGAAAAGTCTTCTCAGAGCCCTGCTTTGTGCAATTTCTAGCTGGCGAATAGTAGTGTTTAAAGCTTTTCTAAACGCTACACATCCATATAGAGACGGACGAATTATTTGGTTATATATCAGTTACCTGTTCTTAGCATTAAGATTTTCATTTCTGAATAGCGATTGGAGGTGATGAAGAATTTTGGCACAGCTAATTCTTTTCAGTTGAACACGTTTAAGCCATGTAAATATTTGTCCAGCATGATACCGAGATATTTAACGCTATCCTTATTACCATATCACCCACTCTCACTCTCGACGGATTTTGTCTCTTTGGAATACATGGTAATCAACAATATGAAAACTATAAGTCTATCAAAATAAAGTATTAAGCTGTTTGTTGAATGGTATGCCGGTTGATTACAGTGACTGATCGGTTCCCATAACAAGTAATTACTACCAATAGCACAATCCTCACAAAAATGCCTATATATGAACTAGATCCATCTTCTTGAATTTTTATAGTTCAACAAATCTTTTGTTCTTACAGATATGTGATAAGTGGTCCAACGTACGTTCACCAGTACTTATAGGCAGATGTCAATTGAAGCGCGAAGGCTAGTTAAACTGTTTGCTTTTTTATTCCATTCAATTGTTCTCTGGCCGAGAATATATATAGCAGTAATATTCGTGCGTTGATTTAGTCCAATGTATCCAACATTCGGGACCGTGTAGCCCAGGCATTTTATGATAGGTACTTAAAATTCCATTATTATTAAAAGTTAATAAATTAAATTAAATATAGTTGGATGGTAATTGATTGGAAATACATGGTCTGTCTTTATAAGAGAAACGAGTTAGGTGTTACACCAAATTAATATTTTTATATAAATAATTTTTTTTTTTATTTAATTATTTAATTAATATAAAAATTAATGATATGATAATAATTAAAGTGATAGAAAAGAATTTTTGTTATTGTACTTAACTATTTATCGAAACGTTTCTAACAAATACAATAGTTCCTATTTAAGTAAAATAGACACTACTGTCAAAACTGACGTTAAATTACAATTTAAAAAAAATTAATTAAAATAAAATTTTACTGCTATTAAAAAAATATATTTGGCATATTTGTTCAAATAGTGATTATTTTTTTGTAGTGCTAATGTTTTCAAAAAAGAGAAATATTTTAAAAATATATAAAAACTACCCAAAGGTTTAAGAGTTATACCCAATATACGAGTATATATACAAATTTTTTTTATTAACATAAAATATTCATTCAGAACTAAAGACTAGTAAAGGTATATTGTTAAAAATATATATATATGTATATAAATATATTTTCAAATTTGGCAAAGTAAGAGTTCAATCGTTAGTATTTGCAGTTTAAAAAACTTATTTACGAATAATTAAATAATATATAAGAAATATTTCCAAAGCCACTGATGTGTATTTGGCTATACTCAAATATTTAATTAATCAAAAATAATAAAATTTTTTGTTGTGCTTTACTACTCTTCGATAAAAAAGACTTCAATTGAAAACAATATTTTATATTAAAAATTTAGTTTCTTTCGTCCAAATGGACGTTAAAAATAAATTTAATAAAAATATTTTAAAAACTTTTTATATCGGGTACTCTGAACATATGTTTCCATTCAAATAAAAAATTATTGTAAGTAATATAATGACCTCCTACTCCATAATTTGACTGATCTAAATATTTTTCAATGCTTAAAGGTATATTCTTTAGTGAGTTTTGTAGTTTCAAAAATTATTTTCCTCAAATTATTGATATGATTTTCAAGCAAAATACTTGAAAAATATGAAATTTAATAAGAAAATAAAAAATTTTAATATAAATTATTTTCCTTATATTTTCCCCTATTGAATTTTCCATTTATTTCCCTCTTCCGTTTAAGGAATGCCCTTGAACTTTGGGAAGAGATAAATAAATAATAAATTCGAGGACTGCTGAGTGGACTATAATTTAAAATGAAAATGCATTCAAATGTCAAAAGCAAATAAAACAACTGTAAATTTACACTTAATAAGAGAAGTAAAAATAAATATAAAATATATAAAAATATAAAAATTGAAAACCATAAAAATAATAGCTGAGAGCTATTTTTCGACCAACCAATACCAATAAAATCCAGAAAAAATATGCAAGCCAAATGCAAACAATAGAAGCACAGCCATGGAGCAATGGAGCGAAATTCATGATATCAAACCAAAAATATTTTGAATGCACATTTTTACAAACAATTTTACAAACACGACAACTCAAACTAAAATTTGAACAAAATTTTTTAATTTTAGTTTGTTTTTTTTTTTAATTTTTTAAATTAAAACTCACCATAAATCTTGAATGCATAAAAGACTTTAATGTCTCTCGGCGCTTGTTCGCTAAACACAGACAAACAGTCCAAAAAATCTTCAAAGGATAAACTGCCCTGACCATCGCGTGAGAATGCCTCACAGATGCGGCGCCGAAAAGGATTCTCACGTAATTCTGGCATCTTCTCAATACATTCAGGTGGAACCTTGACACTCGATGCTTGGCCCTCGGTCATTTGGCGCGGTACCAAATCTGGTCGGAGTTCACGAAAACGTTTATGAACGCTGTAATATTTTAAATTTCCCTTACGATTATTCCATAAAGACACAATGGCAAGAATATTACAATAATAATTCAGACAATGCAAATGAAAAATAAAAATAATATAAATTTTAAGTTTTAAAATTAAAAATAAAAAAAAAATTAAAATAATTGTACTGCAGTAGATGTGCATTAGGAGTAATCACGGAAATATTTTAGGAAAAAGTTTATTCCACATGGCTTGGTTTAAAAAATTATTTTATGGATTACTTGCAGACATGATTACATATCATGGAATTTGAATTTTCCCTCAAAAAATTGCTTACTTTCAGAAAAAAAGTCCACATTTGTATGGGAAGCTTGAGTTTGTTTTGTAATATATTAGAAAAAGTTTTTATATTTAAAAAAAAATCATGTTTCAATCATGATAATTCTCTTAAATTCCATGTTAACCCATTATTGACTAACAATTGATTTGGTTAAGAAATCAACTTTTACAGGTACACCAAGTTAATATGTCAGCAAGTTTGCAACATGGCATCATATGAATCGAAAGTACATTTGATCCCCATAAGTCAATATTTTTCTCGTTACCGACATGTTTTCTTGATAATCCAATATTTTAAATCCATAGTGTTGTTTCTACATAAATGAATTACTATGAGGGGTTTATCATAAAAAAATCATCATTATCATTTTCGAAAAACAAGAACTTTCGTAACACTCAAAGCACTCTCAAAACATACATATGTCATCTGACCACAGATGGCAATATCTGGTACTACGGGGGTCAGTGGCCCACAGCGCGCTCATAACATACATATATCTTCATCTAATCGCAAATGGCAATATCTGGTACTACGGGGGTCAGTGGCCCACAGCTTCGGCTGTGCTGACCATTTGAGGTTGGACTCGTAGTGGCTGTGGTCAATACCCAAACTTGCGCAGGAAGAATTTTCACTTTTCGTTGCATTCGGCGTGGAGATGTATATTCATCACCGGGTGCTACAACCCACATTGTAGCAGGGGTATTGATAGGCCTCGCATCAAACCAAGGTGGAAGTTTTATGTCTTACACATATTTCTTCATTGGTAACCGGTGGAATTACCGAGAAGATTCCAATGGGTTGTTCATCGCCGCAATGTACCGATGCATGTGTGAAGAACACCGTGATGTTAAGACAACACGACAGGAAATCACGTTGATTATTCTGGACTTCTGTCGCGTGAAAGGTTCTGTATATATTAAAAAACTTAAAATATACGGATTTTTCAGTTCAGGTACGTAGATGGCGCTAAAACATTGTGGTATATTACAAGATTTCAAGTAAAATCGTTATTAAAATTAAGATATTCAAAAGTAATATAAATTTAAAATTTATAATAAAATTGAAGAAAAAACTATCACAGTGGTAGAATAAAATTAAATTTGCCAAAAGATAAATTTACTCCTCGTCTTTAATGAATAAATAACTCCTATTATTTCGCTTAGGGTTTCATAGTCTGCAGGTAAGGTTTTACTGGTCGAATTGGAGCATAACGAGTCGCAACAAAAAGAATTACCTCATCAAGATCAAAATGTCAAAAGTTTTTTTCCAACTGACAGGTGCAACCTTGCGATAAGATTACTTATGATCAATTACAATTTTATCTTACTATATGAAATTAAGAAAAGTTAAATGATTTGTTCTTAAAGGTATATTCTAATTCGTTTAAAAAATATATTTAATATATATATATATATATAAACTTTTACTCTGACAATCTGACTTTTCACACATATTATAACGTAAATGTCGTCGCTTTGAAAGTAGTATTCGAGATGAAGGACCAGTCAATATGATCTGTAAAGGTTGAACATGTGTCAACGAAGACAAAGATCATATGTCAAGTGGAAATGTGATGGGCACAGATTTCAAGAATACATATGGAGTAATTCATAGAAATTAAATTTTTTGAACTAGATATATTAATTAAATAAACCGACTCAATAAAATTGAATATAAAATCAAAATCATTTGAAGAAAAAAAATATATATCAATATTTCATATCAAGACAGCCACCGCAAAAACTCAATATTTCTTCACAACACTCTCTATATTTTTTATATATTATTTTAAATTTTTTTTATTTTATATTTATATTTATTTTTATTTTAATATTTATTTTATTTCTTTATTTTATATTTTTTCCAATGCCAATAAAGAAATTTCGCTCTAAAATAGTAAAAACACTTTTATTGCAGTCTTCCAAAAATATGAAGGATACAAAAACTCCAGAAACCTTAAGGGGTGTACTCAACTATATTGAGAAATAAACTTTTTTTCTTAAGAAAATCTATTCAACTCACGCACTTGTATAAAATACAATTAAAAAGCCACTTTTAAAAAATAAAAATAATTTTAATTGAAAAACTTACCGTAAAATTTCCTTTCGAGTAAAAAATGTGCAATCCTTGAAATAAATAAATATTATATTAATTAGTTTTTGAACAATAATTAAAATATTTTTAAACTCACTTGATAGTCGTCTAATTGCTGTTCAGTAAACGTTACCACTGTATTTCCCATTTGAAATAATTTTTACTTATAATTAAGAATAACGTTATTTTTATCTTTAAAATTTAAAATTTATTTTATTTTTTTGTGGGGCAACTAATGTATCTGGGTGTCAGTATTCCGTGATAGCCTCTTTAATACTGAAAATATTTATTAATATTTTCTTATATTTTTCCTACAAACATTTTCAAGCATTTTGATATACTACAGCAATAAAGGAATTTCGCTGTGTTCACTTGCTATCCTACCCAGCGGGTGCAAAAACAAATTAATTAAGGAGTGTTCTTCTTCATTCTCTGAAAGCATTTTCCAGCAAAATACTTACGCTTTCCACTCTGATATGGTTTTTCATCCTTGCGATTCGCTTGCTTCCGAAGGTGTGGCAACACGCTGGCTGATATTTTTATGAGTGTCACGTGTGAAACAGCATATGCTCTATGCTTCATACCATATATATGAAGAAATAAATATTATATATATAAATATATATATATATAAAAATAACAAAAATAAATAAATTTAAGTGAAAACCACTTTTTGAATTTTTCCTCAATTAATGCATTTTGCAATTACTTTTAAAAAAGAATTAAAATATTTTAAATTATTGTATTGACTACATTCATTTATTTTTTTTATATACATTTTGTTTTAATTTTAATATTAATTAATTTATTTTTATTTAATTTTGGTATATGTGTGTCTTATGTATAAGTAATATTATATTTAAGTATTTGTATGTATATTGTAAGATAGGCTCCTGGGAATGTATATTCTTACGGAAGAGGCAAGTTTTGGGAAATGAAAAAGCTGATGAGCTAGCCAGAATTGTATCAAAAACTGCTTTTATAGGCCCTTAACACTTTTGTGGAATAAACTGGGCCAGTACAAAACAGATTTTCAAGGAAACTTTCCAGAACTCAGACAAAGTAAAGCACTGATAACACCGTATTCCTACAAAGACATTCTTAAATTCTCAAAATGTAATTTATGGATGATAACGGGTTTCATTACGGGTCATTATGGTCTGAAATATCACCTTCATAAACTACAATTATCTGCTAACTCGGAATGCAGATTATGCCTCGAAGATGACATTCTTTGAGACTGTCCAGCTTTAATAACGCACAGAAGAAACCTCTTTCATATGGAATTTCTGTCACCAGAGCAGATTAAGAGCTCTTCTCCAGATTCAGTTCTAGATTTTGTTTACAAAGTTTTAAAGAGGTTTGAGTAATCAATAGTGAAATTGGTACAATAGGACTCTTCTGGCCGCAGTACCGGCTGTTGGGCAATTTTCACGTCTATTTTTATAATTTTTTTTTTTTAAATACGGAAGAGGCAATAGAACTCTATAAAGTAGGTTCTGTACTACTTTTTATTGACGCAACAGGGCTTAGATACCTACTCTAAACCCAGAAGGGGTAACAATAGACCCGACGTTCGCAGACCCACATTCTTGAACAATAATAATAATAACATTTGTGGAATTTTAACGAAAATTTATAACATTTATTAAATATTTAAAAATATTTTTAAAAATTATTTATATAATTTAAAAATTTGTGTTTAACTTGTGCTTAAATTATATTTTTTAAAAATTAATTTTTTTCATAAAATGTTTTTTATTTTATTTTATATATTATATATTTTATTAAGAGACTTTTACATATCCCATGTCATTTCGTTGATTATTATCATCTCTTCTCAGAACACTCATATGCCATTCTGGTTTGTTTTACGTATTTACTGAAATGGCTGTCAGGCTTGGGATCTAAGTCCAATATATGCATTTTTGTTAAGAATGTTTTGTTACTGTTCGGTATCTGCACAATATGTTGACTTAAAGTTGAACTGAAAGGTACAAGATCCATAATATTAATAGTTATTAGAATAAACATAATAAGAAAATATATTTATAAGATATTGGTTTTCTTAAAACCAGAAGTTTAGTTGATGTGATTTTGTTCTTAATAAAATTAAACAATAAATCTTAAAAATGTTTTAAAAGGTTTTATTCTTGAATATTTTCGCGATAGAATTATTTCTTGATATACCGAAAATGGACCGGAAGCTTCATTTATTGGCACAATTCTATTTTCTATGGACACATATACAGTGTGACTAGTCCAGAAAATCAGGTCACATCTATATATACAGTTAGTGGTTCGCTTATACGTGGTGTGGATTTCTTCTTGAAGAGAAATATAAAAAAAAAATTAATTAATTGGAAAACGATGTCCAAATGTATCATATATATTAGGCTTATCGTCAAATAAAAGACAATTCGAATTATATAATTGTATGCCTCCATCTAAGGGCACGGTCTGAAAAATCATGAAATTCTACAGCATGTAGTGAATATACTGCTGATCGGTCCTCAGAAAAAGTTGTGATAATAAGCATTAATAACTTTAATGTAAATTTTATAGCAAATTATAGCTGAGCAATATTAATGCTTAACTAGAATCTGTTAAAAAAATAATCTGCTAAAATGATAAAATTTTTGGTAAAAACGCTATTGAACCGAGGTAAGGAAATTATGTTCTGATAACTGACACATTTACATGAAGTAACTTCGACTCAAAAATCGGAGACTCCATATTTCCTTATAAGAAATGACATAGAGTAGCTTAAGTATCACCATCAGTCTGCACAGAAATATAAATTAACCATATTTGTGAAAGTTTGGAGTTTAAAACTATCAATAACGTTCGGAACAATTTCAGCGTTAATAATGGTAGCGACCCTCACCTCAGTTTGCTCTAATTTCACCTACTATATTAATCACTGCCCACATTAGTTTAGTACTTATATAAAAATTCCCAATGCCAATAGCTTTAAGATGTATTGTAAAGATCATCCGAGACTGTGACACAATTGTAAGACTGTTTTAATGTGACTATCAATGATTATGATTATCGACTATCAACTCGATAATCATAACATATATTTATTTTCACTCGGAAGCACTGAGAAAAAACCGTACTTTACCTGACATGTCCTTCAATCTCCTGAAATGTTAGCATAATAGAACAATCCATTGCCATTGCTGCTAACAAATATTCCTCTTCAGGTCTTAAGTTTAGGAAGTTTACTACATGTTGTTTCTTCAGAAGCGTTCCTAATGCTGTATACGATTTTGTTGTGACTTCTAGAAAACCGTTTTCGTACATATATTTTAAATTTCGCTAAAAGTAATATTATATTCGTTTAAGAATATTTGAAAATGTTAATAAATTTATCAATATAATAGAATTATTTATTAAATCATTATTTATTAGTTTCAAAGTATATGAAAGCATGAATATAAAAATGCAAAAGTAATCTAATATAATATTAATATATCATATTATATCTATTATATTATATTACATGTTATATCTAATATTTTTTACATTAAAATTAAAAAACCGTAGTAAATACTACTTAGGACTGCAGATATTAAATTAGAAGTCATTGTACGTAGTTCTATAGTTGCAAACCCTTTTGAAGTAAGTGCAGTAATAATCACTGATTAGCTATAACTCCATTACTCATTTTGATAATGATACTAAAATTGCATTTTAATATGTTGTAAAATACAATTTAGATATGTCATATTTTTATGATACATTAATGTAAATACACACAATAAATTAATATTTAAATGCCCTTAAGTGAATTTTTTGCTTAAATTCACTTAATTTTTTACAAATTCACAAATTAATTTACATCCTTTTGCTCAAAAAGTACTCGGATTTTGTAAATAAAACACAAATTTAAATTTTATTCCAAATTTATTTTATCTCCTTCAAAATATGCTCCTTCTGAAGCGATACACATATGCCAACGCTTACCCCAATCTTCCATACAGTTTTCGAAGGATCGTTAAGGTATGGCTTTTAATTCCTTCGCTTACCACGAAGGGGCAATTTGAGTTTCGGGAACAGGAAAATGTCGCACGGATCCAGATCTGGCGAATATGGTGCATGAACGATGACAGTGGTGCCGTGTTTGGTCAAAAAATCGCGTACAAGAATTTTCCATAGTAAAAATCGCTAAATGCACTTGAGGTAGTCTCACATTAACAGCTGCTGTAAACAAACTAATTGACAGATGGCGCTCAAATTTGTACCATATATCAAGAAAGAGTGTATCAATATAACAAAAAAGTGTTTGAAAAAAGGAATTTTTTAGTAATACACCTTTTTTGAAAAAGGTCGCATAGAGTAGTTAACAAACAACAAAATCCGGATACTTTTTGAGCAGAAGGTGTAGTTTTTATTTTTATAATATTTTTATTATATATTATGTTCCCCCTTAAGGTGCAACTTTACAGAGTGCAGTTCTTAAACATAAAGTTTACTTAATGAACACTAAACTTAGTCTAAACCTAAAAGTTCACTGACTGAATACTAAACTTAATGTAAGCTTTCTGTACTTTTAGGTATAAACACATAAAAAATTATATTCTTAAAGATTATTTATCTTAATATGAATCATTGTTACACTATATATTTATAATTTTTTTTTTGTTGTAACTCTGCAAGTATACTCAGTTCTTGTATTTATACTTATACACTGTTTTTTCCTATAATAGATCTCTAGCGAAAACAGTTATTTAAGTTTCCAAAAAGGCGTTAATTCCTTAGGCGCTGTATTGACGAAAATTTAATTGATTTTTTTTCAAGACTTGAAATATAAATTTCACTCTTATTATTTAATGGTATTATATATTGATCTGATTAAAAAATATATCTGACCATTATTTAATTCTTTGAGATTTTATTTATTGTGTCGATTTAAATTTGCGAAAATTCGTGCTAAAGACCGAATCACCTTCACTTGATTGTTTGTGAGAAATTAAATTCTCAGTTCACCGGTTTTTATACGTAGATAACAAATGGGTGAAAAATCACTGAACACTTCTTTTTTGTCAAAAGTCGACTTTGTTCTTCAACATAGTTTTCTTTAAGAGCAATGCTATCAAACCAACGTTTATCTAAAATTCAGATATTTTTCTTATAGAAAGATTTATGCTTAGCCTCAAAATAGCCGTTTGTTTTAACAACGAATTTTAATTAAATAAGTTTTATTTTTTCAGTAGCATATTCTTGAAGTCTTTAATCAGGTGCAGTCATTGGGGATCAAATCTGGAATATACGGTGAATACGGAAGCAATTTGAATCTAGACGGTGAGTTATCTTGAAACAGCACTATTTTCTTTTCACTTGTATGCAATTTTTTTTCGCGATCGAAGAGGAGAAACGTACGATCGAAACGTACCAATAACAATATATATTGGTATATATGGTATATATATTCGTTTTTATGATCTTTTTTTAGAAGTTAGTTGAAGAATACCAAACCCTGCGCATTACAAAATATGAACGCCATAACCTCACCAGCAGATTTTCACAACCAGTTGCTGTCGGTTGTGCTTACGGTCGTTTAGACCCCTAAGTGAAGTGGTGGATCTAGATTAATCCATTGTCAATCAATGCAAGAAAATTGTTTTATTAAAGCTCTCTAAAACAGCGAATAAAACCAATAACAGTTTTAGTAAACTGTAAGCAATCGCGGCGACCATAGCGAAAACAATTTTCTCATGGACAAATAGCCATGTAAAATAAATCATAGACATTCCTTTAATATGTTTAGCGTATTATCTATTTAAATTACAATTTATCAAAACAATTCTGTTGACTGTTCTTTTCCGGTGTAACCGTCTCATTTGGGTGACCAGAGTGTTATGCTGCATCAGTGGCTGTATGGTTACTCTTAAAGTCTGAAAGAAATATGTTCAATGGTTGCTTTCGATAGTCTAGACTTCGAATAACACTTCGAGAAACCTATCTATATATTAACCTTCGGTCTTTTAACTTTCCAGCAAAGAAGTTAAATTAGATTACGTCGACCTTGTATCCAAAGACTACTTTAGCTCAAATAATGAATTGTTGCGTTACCACAGATAATCCTTATTCATACGTAGATCAGAAGAATTCCCAAAATGTCCGGAGTGGTAAGCGTATAAGCATCACTGAATGGCGCAATTCGTATATGTAAGTGAAAATCAACTAATCAGGCAAGGTTATAAACTCAGAAAAGTACCTAATTTTGCTGTAGGATTGCTCTGTTAGATATTGAATCTTCTTCTAAACATTAGTGAAAACTAACACATGTGGTAAAGTATAGTTTCTTCCTCATCCGCAAAGCTATAACCCCGACAGAAGTCATTATAGTGTTGACACTATCTCATAGCATGTTTCAAAAACGTACTAAAATAATAAATAAGTTTAAGATTTAAATTTAATTTGTTTTTCTAAAACAGATTTTAAGCCTCTAAGTTACACTGTCTCATTAGTAACAGATCCTCCTTTTGCCTAGAGTATAAAGTACTCCTGTATAATAGTATGGACTTATTGTATCCAGCTATTCGGTAATGCTAGTGCTTCAAATATTGAAATTATCCTAAGAGCTTAGTAAAAAATATTGAGAACAATCACTGGAGCTCCATGGTATATTAGGAATGAAAGTATTTACCAAAAGTTACAAATTTACTTAGTTAAAGCCTAACTTGACAATACAAGACAAAAATAAAAGGTTGTCAGAACATATCAACCACTTAGCTGGGAATTTCAATCCACTACTTCCCGCCTAAAAAGAGCTGATCGTCCATTCATTAATTAAAATTTAATAGATTCAAGTAAACACACCTCTCTTATTTTTGGTAATTTCATAAAGTGTAATTGATTTCTAAATAATCCACATCATTCTGACCTCATTCAATGAAATTCAATCCCCCAATCTGAGGTCCGTGATATAAGGTTTACTTATTTTATTTTATATTATGCAATTGATAGTTAAAATAAAAATTGTAATATTATGTTATTAGTGATAAGATTTTACAACTTATTGTAAGAGAAGATGCAATGAAGAAGATTCCTATTTAGGACGTGTGCGAGTTAGGCTAAGTTGCGTTCCGAATGAGGGAAATTCTAAGTTGTGCCGATAATGTAGTGATGTGTCGATACGTGTTGATAAATGGTTAAATGTGTGCAGTGCAAAAAATACCAAAAAATCTCCCATTTGGTTTAGCATCAACTTAGTCTAACTCGCACACACCCTTAGTACTATTTCATTTTTCAATTAATGCTATAAAAAATCGCTTTCGAAAATATTGAGGTCGTCTTGAACTTTTACACAGTAATGCATATTTTTTTGCAATTTCCTGAAATTTTTAAATTTCTTATAAAACAAAATACTATTTAAATAAAATTATTTAACAAAAATATTGTAATAATTTCCGTACATTCACTAAAAATAAATTTAAAGATTTTAAAAACCGGTAGTGGCGACACGGAAGAGTTATTACTCAAGATTGTGTAATTTTATGTGCTCATTACAGCATTTTTTCTGCTGATTTAAGTTATTTTCCAAAGATATATATTCGAAAAAAAGTACATCTTATCTTAAAAGAATATTTTCTCCAATATTTCATATGCATTATTTACGTTATTTGTAGTGCTCGTGCCTTGGCTTCTGCAGATTTTACTCCTTTGTTCTTGCTTATATTATTTTCAATTTTTTTCCATTTTTTTCTATCTTTTTCAATTTTTTATTTATTTTGTACAAAATTTTTATTTTGTTTTTGTGAATTTTTTTAATGGAATGTTGTAAAAAGCTTTACTTACCTTGGCCAACAGCTGTAAATGCAAAATTTTTTGCAAGATACAATTTTTTGGTAAGCACAACATTTCCGCTTCAGTGATTTGTGTTGAAGTCGCCTGCACTTCCGTTTCCGCTTTTGTTTCTATCATCAAAGCATTACTCGTTGCAGCTTGTGTTTGTGTTGCACTCGAATGCGGTTGACCTACGCCACCAGGAACGACAATGTTGGCACGGCTTTTAGCAACTTTGCCATTTTCATCAGAGTCTCTCAAGAGACATGTTACAATGAAATCTTTTAAAGCCGCCAATGTCATTTTACTAAATATTTTTATTTTCATTTTTATTTTTAGTTTGTTTTTGTTTTTTTTATTTTTATTTATTTTAAATGAAATTTAAGTATTTAAGAAAAAATGTAAATAAAATAAAAAATAATAATTTATTATGCTTTTAAAATAATTTTAACAATTTGGATGATTTTAATTAAATTAAAATCAAGGAAAATTGCAATTAAAATTAAAATATAAAAATATAAATTTTATTTTATTATTATCATTATTATTTTAATAAATAGAAATAAAATAAAATAAAATAAAACAAAATAAAATAAAAAATTAATAAAAAAAGAAAAAAAAACTTTAGTTACTTACCCCGTAAAAATTTGTTCAATTTGTTTCTCGAAGGATAACGATTTGTAGTGATCTCCATAAATTAAATTTCCATTTTGAAATATTCTTAAATTATTTTGAGGACACTCGAAGAGTGCATCTAATGCGGCCAACATTTTACCAGGAGCACTAAAGTTTGGCGTTTAATCCATTGTGGCACATAAAACAAAAAAAAAAAAAAATAAAACGGAAATAAATATGCAGCATTCAATGAGTAAAACGGAAGCTCAAAGCAAATACAAAATTAAACAGAAGTGAAGAAACTGCAAAAGATCAAATTGAATTTTGTGCACGAATGCATCTCAAAGATAAAAAACTGCAACACGGAAAAATTCAAACATATGCAATGGACAAAAGTTTATACTTTCTTTCCGAAAGACTTTACTTTCCATTTATTTATTTTTTATATGGTACGTACTTTTTATTATTATTTCTTTTTTAATTTTAGGAAAGCGATGGAGTAGAACGTTTCCGAATTTCGGAAAATAAAATTTCATAGCACATGCAAGCAGAACAAATTGAAATTTATGAGTCGAAAATTAATACGAATAAATTTTTAATTTGTTTTAAATGCACGAAACTCAACATTCAACTGAACTATAGACACTTTTTCATATATGTTATAACATATAACATTTAGTAATAATTTTATATTTATTTAAGAAATGTGAAATTATTTAGATATATATCATATATATAATATATATACATATATATATATATAACATATATAGGACGTGTGCGAGTTAGGCTAATTTAATGCTAAACCAAATGGGAGATTGTTTGGGATTTTTTGCACTGCACACATTCAGCCATTTAGCAACACGTATTGACACGTCACTACATTATCGGCACAACTTAGAATTTCCCTCATTTAGAACGCAACTTAGCCTAACTCGCACACGTCCATATATAGGTGGCAGTACTAAACAGTACTAAAAAGCGGCAACCCAGGCAAACGCCAATAAGTGAAGAACTGTCAGTGTATCACGAGAAAAGTGAGAGTATGTTACGAAGAATGGTTGCAGCTAATTTTACGTGAAGAATTCTAGAGCCGACCAACTTTATTATTTTAATTTATACGCTTTTTATTTTAAATCAAATAAACATTAACAATCTTATATATATATATACACATACATATATATATATATGTAACATTTCACGTGTTATATATGTAAATAATAAGAAGAAATTGTTTATAGCTTCCAAAATCTTTATTTAAACTTCTCAATCTAATTTACCATCTTCTATATATATATATGTAGCTGTAATTCGAGACACTTCTTCTCTAATTGAATAATGCCGCTCAGTTGGATGTAATTGCTCCTGTTGAAAAATGTGACCAGTCGAATTGTTTGATTGTAACGGTCTGAATCCAGATTCATCATCTGAACGTATATATATATACATCTAACATTTCACGTGTTAAATATATATAATAAGAAGAAATTATTTATAGCTTCGAAAATCTTTATGTACCCTTCACAATCTATTTAATCGTCTTCAAAGTACTCCTCTATTAATTCCCCTATAATACAATTACGTCAAGTTTTATCGAATCTTGAAAGCAATTCTTAAAATTGATTTTCAGAATGATCTTAAGGATTAAGGAGCATAGCAATCAGATTTTAATTTCGTCTATCGTTTCGGAATAGATTATCCGGAGTGATCTCTTGAACTTAAGGAAAAGTCAAAAGTTACACGGGGTATGATGGTTGTGGAATGAAACGAATGATCGCAAAGATCTGATGTAGTTCGAGATGGTGTGGGGTGCAAAAACCAATCTATTCAGATACAAAAAATCTCTTAGAATGGTATGAACTAATCAAAATAAAATACTAATAAATGTGCAAAATTTTTTACTGTCAAATGATAATTTTTGAGCACCAAATTTTCGATTTCTTCAATGTGAAATTAATTGGGTAAATTTGTAAAATCGTCACTAAAATGTTATATATTGGGGCTAACTTACGAGTAGTTTACGGGATTTTTTTTTTTCCTTTAAGAAATGATAATAATTCTATTACTTTCTATCGTTTGTGAGGAACCCTAAAAAAACTTAAAGGACCTAACATATTTAGTATATGATTGCTGGGATACAATCTAATTACGATAAACATGTATTAATTACATATATTAATGGATGAAACTATAAAATTTCCAGGAATATTTTATAAAGATTTTCTCATAAAAATTTGTTTAAATTATATGTATTCTTTTTATTTAAGATACTAGATGAGCTGTAATAAACATAGCGAAGAGAGAAATCATCTTAAATTTAAAATGTGGCAGTGAAAATCTTTCCGAGGTTAAAGAAACATATTATAATTGTACAATATTAAGCCCTGTAAAAGTCTACATTATTACTAATTATCGCTTGAAAGAATACTTTCATGATGTTAAGGGCTATTTTCACTGCAAACGGCAATATTATAATATCTCAATTACTTTATTTCCCACTTCTGTTAGAAAATTCATTTGAAAAGATATCGTGATCGACATAAGTATTTGAAATTGTGCTACTAAGTCAGGATCCGGATAAGAATAACCGTTCATAAAGCATCTTAACATAGATTATATTTCAAAACACGATTATAACAATATTATTATAAGAGAAGATATGATGTACTTCGATCGTACTTATATTCTTAGTAAATGCTTATGTATATAATTAATAAACTGAATTTTTTTTGTGTATAGTTTAAGCGTCAAAACTTGGTCATGTATAACTACAGGGACACTTTTATTCCAATTCATATTATGTTTTTGAATATTAACTACTCTAATCTGTTATTTCCATTAACAAAATATACATCTGTGTCATCATAACTTAAAGTAAATAACTTCTGGAACTCATAATAAACAATCCAAAGTACTGATGAAATCAAACTATAGCGGCCAAAAGGAAAGAGGAAGCTCATATTGAGAATAATTGAAACTTACCCGGAGAAAAGTTCCATTGGGCAATAGGAGCTACGTTCCGAAACTTTTTGTTGTTGTAGCTGAAAATGTAAATCAAATGTGAGTAAGAAAAGTGAAAAGAAGAAGAAGAAGAAAATGTGAAAATTGTATTTGCGGTATTATGGGTACTGGGTACTACCACGTATTTGCATAGAAAATAAATCGTCCTGCAATTATTCACTGAAGCACAACTTACAGAAGCACAAGTAAATATTGTTTCACGTATGGCTGCGTACATATAGATCTATAAGGTATATATATGCATATATGTGTGTATATATCAAATGAAAAGTGCCGTGTGAGTGAACCCATAATAGCGTAAATCTCCGTATCACCTTTAAAAATTGCATCGCACAGTAGCGGCACCTGGTGTCGTTTGCGTTTGAGATTTTTGTTGTTTCACTTGTAGTTTGCGATATTTCCGCTGCTCGAACTGAAGCTTTATGCGATGCGGTTATTGTTGCAGACACTTCAGCTTCTTTAGCTCTTTCACTACTTGCCACTTTCGTTTTAAATAAATTGTTGACATCACTCGGAAGCAACCAACCTTGTTTCGGTTTAATTTCAATGGCGTATGTGTCTCCAGTTAATGCTGCTCTTGGCTGCACGTTGAGGTTTTTGTTCGAAAATATGTAAAATTCCATGGAAATAAAAAAAAAGCAGGAAAATAATCACAATAACTATTTTGCATGAGCTTACGAAATTTAATAAATGTGAGGTAAAATGGATTTGGTAACAAACAATAAAGTGATATATGGTAAAGTATTTCGGTTCATTTGCATTGAAGCACCAAATTGGTCATTTTGCACAAGTATTTCATAAAAATAAACTGGTAATATTAAGAAGAGAAGCTAACATGGCTTCTCTCTCACTTTTAATTTATTCACTTATATTTTTTGTTATTAAATCCAATTTAAAATAATTATAAATAAACCATGAACAAATAAATGTTCAATAACATATTGTCAATAGTCTTATGTCTAATGTTGAGTCTTTTCCGAGCTAGTGCATCTGGACACTTTTACTGTTTGATACCCGGGGGGTTTTTGCAGAGTCCCATCCACCTCACTTTACTTTATTTTTGATAATTATTAAAAATAATAATAATAAAAATAATAAAACAATTATTATAATTTATTTATGCTACGTTTACACTGTAAGATGCACAGAAGATTAAGCAATCAACAAGATTAAAGCAATCAATGAGATTAAAGCAATCAACAGGACTAGTGCAATCATTGCGATTAGAACAATCATTGAGATTAAAGCTTTAATCTTGTTGTTAAATTGAAGATTTACGCAACTGAACTGGTTTTGTTTGGTCAAGATTGATTAACTAAGTCAATCAATCACCAAGCTGTCAAAAGTTTTTTTTTTGGGTACAAAATCTCACTCTTCTAACGCTATCTAGAGTAAACCGATCGGAGTAATGGATTTCTTTATACTAATATATAGTAACCGTAAAAGTCACAAATATAAGTTTAATATATTTTTATTCAGTTAAGTGATCAGTAAAAACAAATTAAAATAATGAACACAATATTTTTGAAAAAAACTTCAAGTTTTTTGGAGATTTTCTTGCTATAATATATAATAGAAGTATTCACGATCTCATGTAACAAGTCCAGTAACAGAGTAACACCTCAAATTGACTGTTGTCACTTTTCAGTACTACCATGTTCCGCGAGATTACCGACCTCATTACTCGAGATCATGAACACATTTAATATACCAGGTGGATTTTTTGAAAATTATATTTTATGCTTCAATATAGTCTTATTTTAGCTCGACGTACAAAGTACAACGATCTTTCAATATTTGGATACCTTTTAAATAATACGATTGATCAAGTCCTCCTAAATAAAAACAACCTCAGTCAACCTCAATTCGTATCGTAATTCATTCAATTTTGCCATGATTTTCATTGGCGTGTGAGCGGGTGCGTTATTCTACAAAAACAAAAATTTTTTCTTGGACAAATGAGATCGTATTTTCTCATTCAATGGACCCAATAATATGCAATAGTAGTCTGATTTTATTGTGTTTCCTTTTTCAGTCTATGAAAATAATTTAACTTTAATCTCAAAATATGGATCCAAAATTTTTTTCATTTTATAAAAAATCACCAAGTTGCATTATATTATTTACTAAAAGCTGACCAAACTTTTGAATAATTCAAAACTTTTAGAACTGTCGTTAAAAACTTGCTAGAACAAATATTAGCAACAAGACTATATTTATTTTTTTATATATATGAAAATGCTGATCTACATAGATAAAAGTCTAAAGTATAAACTACATGTATTATTTTTTTATATAAAATATATTAATTATTGTTTTTAATAATTTATTGATGTTATGACCAAAACTTTTTAATAATAAAATTGTTCTTAAAAAGGGGTGATTGGTCACTATTTATTATTATAATACACTTTTTTAAAAAATGTCGTGTTTATAAAATTCCTTATATAAACCAATATTTTGAAGGTCAAAAACTACCTCGATCATTTTTTTGTCAGCAAAGACCAAACATTTTATGAGCGTGGAATTATGCTACCTACCAGAAAGATGACAAAAGGTGTTGCAACAGAACGGCCAATATATAATAATAAAGTATTTAGTAACGTATTTAATATTATTATTATTATTGTTAGGGTATGTAGCACTGCGACCGTCGGGTCTATTGTGCCCCCTTCTGGGCTTAGAGTAGGTCTATAAGCCCTGTTGCGTCAATAAAAAGTAGTATAGAACCTACTTTACAGAGTTTTATTGCCTCTTCCGTAAGAATATACATTCCTAGGAGCCTATTTCGTATATGCATTAGCGCAGGGCATTCTAACAGCACATGTGCGGCCGACTTCTGATTCTCTTCACAGAATCTACAGTTTGCATCCGTAAGTATACCCAGTATTGTAAGGTGGTGTTTTAGAACGTATTTAATAAGTATTTAATAAAGTATTTGTTTATTATACGAAAACTGTCTTTCAAAAAAAAATTAGCATTACGTTCCTAGATTAGGTTCTATACATAAGAAAGAACAAATCATACAACAAATAATGACTCTACGAACAGAATAGTATTGAAATTTAACAATTGAAAATAAAATTATAATTAATTAATTAATTCAATTATTCTACAGCTGGTTTATTATTTCATTGTAAAATAAAACACAGCAAGTAAAATTATTAATAAAAACTTTCATAGTAATAGTAACAAAACTCTAGAAAAATATGCGAACAAAAAAGTCAAGTACGGCTTTGGATCAGTTGGTTAAGGTGCGCTGATTCTGAGCTTCACATTTGGCAGGACCCCGAGTTCCGATTCCTGGTACTTGCAGTCTCAAAAAATAATTATTTACGAATAATTAAATACAAGAATTATTTCCAAGACCACTGATGATGGGTATTTGGCAATACTCGAAACAGCTGTATGGTCAGCCAAAAATTCAATTAATTAAAATAATATAAAAAATAAATTTTTGTTGTTGTATTACACTACTGCTCGAAAGAACCTCTTTTAAAAAAAAAAATTATAAAAAATTCTCTAACTTGAAGTCTCCAGAAGTCGAAACTTTTCTTTGCAAAATTGGACTTCGAGTTATGGAAATTTGACTGTATTTTGTTAAATTAATTTAATTATGTAAAATTATTTTGTATCATTATATCATTTATAAAACATATTTTTTTAATATCTAAAAATAAAGTAAAAAAATTTAATTTGCAGAATTTATCTTTTTTTTTGTTCCTTTTTGTGTACTCGACTTATACATAACACAAATTGGTTAATTTACAATTTTTAATTAAGTCGTTCACATATTTTCATGAAACTGTAACTCTGCTTTTCCTACTGCCTTACATTCGGGTATGATTTATGCCCTGAACTAAATTTGTCTAAAGTGCAAATCCAAAATATTAGTTACAATTGAGCACAATAACACATTTTTTCCAAAGTGCAAAGCACATAATATCTCCAAATATTTATGATTTTCGTAGCTATATTTTTGCTCGGAGAACAATTTCATATAAATTGAATACAATGTATGTATACAAGTATTTTCGTTCACTTTAATTTAAACCAAAAAAATCAAAAAAGAAAAAAAAACCAAAAAAAAAAATCCTTTTGATTTATTACCTCTGAGCACAGAGAGTGACCATATGTTGGTAGTACAAGTACTGGATAAGTACGAATCTTGTAAAAAATGTCCTTGGAAATCACAAAAAATGCTATATATTTTGTATACAATATCAGAACATTACACATACACAACTATAGACAAACATATACACAAACAATAGAGTGAGCTCATATTTCTAAAAATGGATTTTTTAGTTAAACTCACCTGTAAATTGGAAACTAAAATGTCGAACGCTGCCGGTAACTGGGTAACATCTGGTAGCAGAAGTCCAAATTGCCCACAAAATTCTTTATCCAGTCGATGTGCTGCAAGCCATGTTAGAAAGTGGTAAGTCGGTATTGTGTACATATAGAAAAAATATAGTATAACATAACAGAAAAGAAAGGACGAAGGACGAAGAACGAAAGACTAAACAAATAAGAATAATTTACACTTAACTGAAATATTGCAATGTTGCTGTTGGTGGTGTATAGTTGCTGTTGCTGTTGCTATTGCTGTTGCTGTTGTTAGTGCATTTTTATATTCAATATTTGCTAACAATGCAACAGCATAAAAAAACAAAAAAAAAAAAAATAACAGTTAAAAAAGAGTAACAACACCATTGCCGGCAACTGCAAATTAAAGCAACACATGCCATAGGAAAAATGAGTTTCCATAACGCAGGCCATCTTGTTGAACTTATGGTCGTGCTAAGACTTCGAGCTCTGCCAGTGAAATGCTTAATAAGTCCCTAGAGAGACTGGGAAGTATAAAAAGTACGTAAAAGTAAGCTCAAAAAATAAATAAACAATGCTGTCAGCTTGAATGGCATGTGCCAAGCGGCAAGAAGCTTTAGCCTCAAAACGCATAAAATATTTTCAAGAAATTTTATGATCGATTTCATGTCATATAAAAAGAAGTATTATAAAAAAAAATATGGAATTTATTGGATGCTCGATGCTGTATTGTAAGAAGTACTTGAATTTATGTTTACAAAGAAAGCAGGATATAATTGGATTCATATGCGCTTGATGAAGAAAAAGAACCATTTTCCTCAACTAGAAGGAAGTGAAATAATTGGTGATGAGGCAGAAAAGAATGGGGAAGAAAAAACAATTACCAGTTTTCATTCCAGGATTGTAAGAAAGATTATCATATATGATTAGATTGATTTTTAACAACCATATTGACAAAAGAAACTTAATTCTTAATTTAAACTATTGTTTTTATTTGAGAGGTGTTTTGAACAGTAGTGAATTACAACAACAAAAATTTTCATTATTTTGAGTGGTGTTAAATACTTATTATCAGTGGTTTTAGAGTTATTTTTTGTATTTAATTATTCGTAAATATCTTTTCAGGTGGCAAGTATCAAGAGTTGAAGCTCAGATTCAGCGTTCATTAGTCAGTTGATACAAAGCCGTACTTGACTTGTAAGTTCGACCTAGGAGTTTTGTTAATTTGCTTGGAAGAAAAGTTCATTAACAAATTCAGTGACTGTATTATATTAGAATGAAATCTTAAGCCAACAGCTGGTTTTTTAATTAATCATATTTTTATTTCTTAAATTTCAATACTATTTTTTTGTATATTCATAATTTATTGTATGATTTTATTACTCTTTCTTTGTATATAGAACCTAATCTAGAAACCTAATGCGGAGAAAGTCATGCTAAAGTTACTCCACGATTCGTTCAGAAAAGATTGAAAAGTTGAATGAGTATTTTTATTCATATTTTAACAGTAGTTCCAGAACAATTCTATATAAGATTGGTTTTTAACGTCCGTTTTATAAAAAACTTGATATGATTAATATCATATGACATTAATATGACTAGTTTATAAAATATATTTTAAAGATATATGAAAGAGATTATGGTTGTATAAAATTAAAAAAATTATAAAAATATAATTATAATCTAAGACACGGAGAGTCTTAGAGAATTAACACACATAATAAATAGTTTTTTATATGCGACGCTAAGCTATATAATATCGCTAAAAATCTCAAAACCTACTAACCACTAGTGCTAACTATTGAATTAAAAAAATCACTGAAAGATTAAAGTAGTGAATAGATTAAAACAATAAATCAGCTGCAACAGATTAACTGCTTCTCATATTGATAAAACTAATATAGGTATATATAAAAGTTATTTTGCATATATGTCAATGTCAATGTGGAGGTCGTGGTATTAGAAAAAGCAGCTATTCGTAAAAAACAGCGATCGAGGTGAGGCCCATTGACACCGCACCTTTCACTTCAGAATTATTGAAGTAAACGTCAAAAATGTCACAACAAAGATAAAGAAAACTGGATCGCCATAGATATATTCATTGCGATCATATTCAAACGGATTAAATATAGTCGCGAATAACCAACACTGGGACCCTACCTTGAAGTATTTAGGTACTACAGTTCATAAGCTCGTTCTAATTGAAGCACGTTAAGTGGTTTAGTTAGTGTTACTTAAAAAATTAAAAGTGACAAAAAACTTGGAACTTGATATTTGAAAGTTTGTGCAAACTTGACTACTTGTGGAAAAACACGATTAGTTATACTTTCTAATTTGACAGACATAAGTTCCAAGTCTGGCACTTACTGTCCAAACAAATTATATATAAACTATAAAAATCTAATTAAAAAATTCAAATATTTCTTAAGACCATTGATGATGAGTATTTGGCAACGCTCGAAACAGCGCTGTATGGTCAGCCGAATTTCAATAAATTAACTGAAATATTTGTTGTTGTCTTTTCGTTTCTATTCGAACCATTCTAACTTTTAAATAGTTTCTTTTCGTCATAAGATGCGTTATTTAGTATTTATTTATTTATTTACTATTTATATTTATATATACATATATATTAATTTTTACTTGTATATTAATGGTTAGCCATGATGATATTTTAACATTTTGTAGGGCAGTGGTGCTTGGAGGAAATTAACAAAAGATCTGAATTTTCATCTTGTAGTTTAACTATTTGCAAGAGGACTAACAACAACGATATGAGTAGTGATGTAGTATGGAATTGTATTATTCATCAATAAACTAAAAATTCCAACATAAATATAAACGTATAAAGAGAGATTTCATTTATAAATAGCTCGATTTTTTTTACTATGGTATCTGGTAATTTTACCGGAATATGATTTTCTAATTTTATTGAAAATCATATTTAACTACCGTAAATAAATTTTTCTGTACCTGCAAGTTAAATATGGAAAATATTTTATATTTGCCTACCTGGTCTGGCGGCACGTACATGTTCATTTATCCATTTTCTATCTGCTTCCTTTGGTATTTGTATAACTTCCGCTTCAAATATAAACTCATTACCCAATAGACGTCGAATTATCTCAATGAAATCCACAAATTCTTTCATTGTCAAGTTTTCAACTGAAATTACAAATGTTTTAGGAAAACAAAACCATTCAAAATAGTGAAATTGAAGAGCATAAATGTGAAAGCGAACAGCACAAACTGTAAAAATACCAAACAGCAACTAATAAATTATTGCAACAATCCGAAATAAATGAAATAAAATATATTTCAACATCATTTCGAGCCAAAGTTGCAACATTTGAATTGGCAAAACAGTTTCTGCTTCCCACTACCACCTCTGTGCCGTCCAACTGATTGCAGCAGCTCATAAGCCAATGGAACCGCATCGTTTCCCGCCACAATAACTAACCTTTTGTGTTTTGCTGCCTAACCAAGTCGGAAACACTTTCCAGAGTCTGTTGCTGCTGCCGTTTTTGTTGTAGAGATTTTTTAACATGGAATTGTTGTTGTGTTTGGCCGTTCATCGGCAACATTTTTGGCAAACGTAAAACTTTTTTGAACTGCGGCAATGCAAGCACCAAATTTGCATTACCCTCTGCGCGATAGTGCAACTCAATTTGGCACAATTCCATATGCTCTGATATAGCTAAGCATTCATTCAGTGTTCTAGGTGTGGATGAAGTTAGCAAATGGCCAGCAACCTTACTGTAGGTGCTGTCAGACGGCATGTCTAACTTGGATTCTTGGCTGCTGTCAGTTCTGCAAGTTGAGCCAG